CCCCCCCGTGCTGCCCTCGTTAGAGTTTGCTTTAACACCTCTGAGGTGATCTCCTCAATGCCAAATTGCTCTTCCCTGAATGGGACGGTCCTTCAGAGGCTCCTTTTATTTACTGTGTCAGGTTGGAAGGAACTGTGCGGGCAAAGGCACGGCAGGCTGCTCTGTCACAGAGTTGATAGTGCTTAGCCCGTGAGTGAGCGCTGCTTGCAGCGCAGAGAAACGTGCTTGGAGCGTGTGCCTCCGTCCGGGTTTTGCGGAGACCTTCCTGCGTGTGCATCTGTGCGTACTGAGCACACGCGTATGCGCATCGAATGTGGAGGTAGAGCTGGGAACGGGTAGCAGTGTGGAACGATCAGTGAGCCACTGCAGCGCCCAAAGTCTTTGTTTTTGTCTCTTGTTTTAAATTTTATTTGAGAGAGAGAGAGAGAGCGCATGAGTGGGGGAGGGGACAGAGGGAGAGAGAGCGAGAGAGAGAGAGAGAGAGAGAGAGAGAGACTCTTAAGCAGACTCCACACTCAGCACAGAGCCCAACGTGGGGCTCGATCCTTTGACCCTGGGATCACGACCTGAGCCAAAATCGAGGGATCAAGGGTGGGACGGTCAACCAACTGAGCCACCCAGGTGCCCCATGTTTTTGTCCTTTTTAATAATATACGACCGATTGGGGTGCATGGGTGGCTCCATCGGTTAAGCGTCCAACTCTTCCTTTTGATTCGGGTCATGATCTCACGGCTTTGTGAGTTCAAGCCCCACATCACACTCCACGCAGGCAGCATGGAGCCTGCTGGGGATTCTCTCTGTCTACCTCTCTCTCTACCCCTTCCCTACTCACGCTGCCTCTGTCTCTCTCAAAATAAATAAAACTTTTTAAAACTTTAGGAAAAAAATAATATACTACTGATTTTAAAGGCTTTATTCATAAATTGATTTGAGGCTCATGTTAGAAAGCTCTATGCCTTTTTGTAAATGGCAATTTTCCTAAATACTGTTACATCAAGAAATAAATATTTCTAAATATAGCCATATGAGATTTTTCACCAGTGTTGTTTTTAAAAATGTGTAAAGGGGACTCCTGGGTAGCTCAGTCCGTTAAGCATCTGACTTGGGCTCAGGTCGTGATCTCGTGGTTCCCGAGTTGAAGCCCCACGTCAGGCTCTGTGCTGACAGCTCAGAGCCTGGAGCCTGCTTTGGATTCTCTCTCTCTGTCTCTCTCTCTCTCTCTCTCTCTCTCTGCCCCTCCCCAACACGCTCTCTGTCTCTGTCTCTCTCTCTCTCTCTCTCTCAAAAGTAAATAAACATTGAAAAAAATTTTTAAGAGGTCTGAACCTTTATAAATAACTAAAGTGTGAATTTTCTTGCCCCACAATGCAACTTGTGTGTGCAAGTACATGTTTGTACCTTAAGTGTGTGCGTGTCATTTTAATATTTCCCGTCCTGTTACGTGAGGTAGCAACATGCAGCCTCCTGTGTGTGCTTGGACTGGATACCTCGCGTCACGAACGGCGGGGACAGGTGTGGGAAAACGTATCTGGCTTTCATTCCCGAAAATGAGTTAAGAAGGTCATCGAGATCTGGATCTAGTCCCGTTTGGAGAGATGCGGCTTGGCATCGTGCACTCACTTGTACACTTTCTCCCTGTAGACAAGCAGATGTCCGACGGCCGGCAAGCGGTGCGGCAGGACAGCAGGACTCCCGGACGCCGGCCCAGCTCGGTCAGCCGTCTCCCGCCTGGGGGGCTCCGGAGGTGCCCCCGGAGGCCCGCGGCCGAGCGGGGACCCTCCCTCGAGACTACAGATCCTCGGAGGGCGCGCCCTCGGCCCCGCACACCCGCGGGCAGGAGCCCAGGCCCTTGAGCGCCGCGCCCGTCCCCAAGCAGCCAGCCCCGCGGAGGCCGCCACCGCCACCGCCGCCCAAGCGTGAGCCCGGGCAGTTGGGGGGCCTGGCCGGCGGCACCCCCAGCGGGCCCCTGCCGTCCCCCGAGGCCACGGACGCGTGCGCCCCCCGCCCGGCCCTCGGCCAAAGGCCCGAAGACGGCGAGCGCGCGGGGCGGCATGTAGACGGGCACCCGGCCGGGCCTGAGAGCCAAGCCCCGCTCCCTTCCTCGCTGCGGGCCCCGCGCCCGGCCGCCATGGAGACTTCTCGCTCCCCTTCGCCCCAGTTCGCCCCGCAGAAGCTCACGGACAGACCTCCCCTGCTGGTCCAGGACGAGAGTTCCACCAGGTACAGCCCTGGCCCCACGCCTGCCCTTCCCTGGGCTCCCGCGGGAGGTTTCCCGGGCGTCTTTCCTGGGCGGTGTGGGGGTGGTGTCTGGACCCCATGGGGGACAACCCACAGCTCCAGGGGTCAGGTGGATTTTTAACTTGGGGTCGGGGCGGGGGTGCCCTGTTCTCCAGGAGCAAAGGGGATGTGCCACAGGTGCAGACTGTCCTCTGTCCCCGTGGTCCAGGCCCAGCAGTGGTGTGTGCCTTCCCTCTGGGCATCTGCCCGTGAGGGCTGTGCTTTCCCTGAGCACTTGTGTGGTTGGAGAGTCCTGTGTGCAGTAAGCCTGACGCCTTCAGGAGACTTCGGTGTTTTTCATAATGTCCAGTATTTCCACATGTTTTGTAGGTTTATGTTTCTATTTTTGAGAGAGAGTGTGAGCAGAGGAGGGGCAGAGACAGAGACAGGGGGAGATAGAATCGCAAGCAGGCTCCACGCTGTCACCACAGAGCCCCGGCCAGGACTCATGCGGGGCTCATATGGGGCTCACGCAGGGCCTCACACGGTCAAACTGTGAGATCAGACCTGAGCCAAAATCAAGAGTTGGACGCTTCACCGACTAAGCCACCCAGGTGCCCCAACACATTTTCTTTCTGTGTCATATGTGAAAAGCAAAGCTGGTATACACATGTTATGAAGGCAGAGGAAAAACCTGTTCAACTCCATGGCGCTGCTGTTAGAATTTCCGACGTGGACTTGTCTGCCGTGCCCATGGAGACGTTGATAATAAATATGGTCAGGCAGGGACCGACCGGTCCCGAACACTGCATGTTTCCTTTTGCCGTCCTCTCAGAGTGCCTTTGAAGAACTGGGAAAGGGCAGAAGTGCAGAATTTTCATCTTGCTCGCTAGGGCCGTGGTTGTCCATCTGGGGGAGGGTGGCTTTGCCCCCGGGGGGGCATTTGGCTGTGTCTGGAGAGGTTTGGGGGGTCACAGCTGAAGAGCGAGTGTTGCTGCTGGCATCCAGCGGGCAGAGGCCGGGACGCCTCGCATCCTGCGGTGCACAGGTGAGCCCCGCAGCAGGGAATGGTCTGGCCCCGATGTCCCGTGCTGTCGAATACGGTAGCCACAGTCACATGTGGCCGTAGGAATGGAAGTTAATGAAAAACAAAATAAATTCTGTGCATCAGCTGCACCACGTGTGGTTAATGGCACACATACCATTATTTCCATCATCCCAGAAAGTTCTGTTGGACCTTTTTGTTGTAGAGTCTCAAGCCGTTCTCTTTTTTTTAAGTTCATTGATTTATTTTGAGAAAGAGCATGAGCACGGGAGGGGCGGAGAGAGAGTGAGAGACAATCCCAAAGCAGGCTCCACGCTCTCAGCACAGAGCCCAACGCAGGGCTCAGACTCCGGACCCAAGAGATCATGTCCTGAGCCGAAATCAAGAGTCAGATGTTAAGGGGCGCCTGGGGGGCTCAGTCGGTTGAGCGTCCGACTTCGGCTCAGGTCATGATCTCACGGTTCGTGGGTTCGAGCCCCGCGTCGGGCTCTGTGTTGACAGCTCAGAGCCTGGAGTCTGTTTCACATTCTGTGTCTCCCTCTCTCTCTCTCTCTGCCCCTCCCCCACTCACGCTGTATCTCTCTCTCTCTCTCTCTCAAAAATAAATAAACATTAAAAAAAATTTTTTTTAAAGAGTCAGATGTTTAACCAACTGAGCCACCCAGGCGCCCCTGTTCTTTTCTTTCCACCTTGAAAATAACTTGGCAGAGAGGACACCACTGATAGCATCCTGCATCTCTGCAAGTGTGGCCTCGTAACCACAGCTTCATCTGGGGGCCACGTCTGTGCTCTGTGTCATGCAGACTGTGGGCACCACTGAGATAACCTGTCAGTGGGAGGCAGCGTTATCTGTTCTGAAGGGAAGAAGAAGCAATAACGTGGTCTGTGTGGCGGGCCAAGTGTACGACACTGTTCCAGGCGAGCTGGCCTAGGCCTCTCAGGTCGCTCGCTTCTCGGGAGCTGGTCTGAGCTCTGCGGGCTCCTCGGAGAAACAGCCATGTGTTCCCACAGTGCTCGTGACCTGCGTCAGCTCAGGACGTAGGGAGTGGGTTTCATTTTTTCCTTGCCTGAAGCCAGTGTTGATTTTCTCATTCTGTCTTTTCCAGGAGCTTGAGAGGGATTTCAGTAAACAGGGACAGTGCCTATTGAAGATACTGGGGGGTGATGGGTACCCACAGTTTTTAGTGTTCCCACCCATCGTGTCTTTTGGGTCGGAAAAGGTTGCCTGTGCACCATGTCCCCTGCTGTATGAGTGCTCGCAGAGGGCCCGAATCCGGATCAGTGTCTATACCCAGACCCACATGTGGACACTTTGTTCTCAGGAAGCTCAGTGAGGCACATGGTGGCCGTGCCACCTCCAAGAGCTGCTACCCAGAAAGTCGCTTACAGTGCACTGAATTAGTCACCGTCCCCACGGTGTGCCCCATCGGTCAATCCTGGTATGAGAGCCTGCGATCCCAGTGACCCGCAGGCTGAACAAGAAGCTGGGGAGGGGTCCTGGCCCTGCTCTGTATCCACGGTCAGCTACCGATGGGTCAGCAGGGGAAGGGTCAGGGTCCCCCTGTGTCAGGGCTTCCTGAGCTGCCGGTCATTTGGGCTCAGCTCAGAGATACTGTTCTTGGGGCGCCTGAGTGGTTCAGTCAGTTAAGCATCCAACTAAGCGTCTCACAGTGCGTGAGTTCGAGCCCCACGTCGGGCTCTGCATTGATGGCGTGGAGCCTGCTTGGATCGATCCTCTATCCCCTTCTCTCTGCCCTCCCCCACTCTCAAAAATGAATAAACGTTTAAAAATTTAAAAGAAAGGGGTGCCTCGGTGGGGCAGTCAGTTAAGCGTCCAACTTCAGCTCGGGTCATGATCTCACGGTCCCTGAGTTCGAGCCCCACGTCGGGCTCTGTGCTGACAGCTCAGAACGTGGAGCCTGCTTCCGATTCTGTGTCTCCCTCTGTCTCTGCCCCTCCCCCATGTATGCTCTGTCTCTCTCAACGATAAATAAACATTAACAAAAATAATTTTAGAAATAAATAAAAATGTAAAAGAAATTGCCCTGCTCTCTGCTGACTTGGGTCTCTTGAGCAGAGCTGCTCACCTCATCTCCCTCCATGTCCGGCCTCTCCCTCCTTCCAGCTACCCCTTGACCATGAGTGTGCACGCACTCCTGCCTGCTGGGGTGCCAGCCGGGGTGCAGGGCAGGCTCCCACCTTCACGCGCTGTTGAGCCGTCCCTGTGTGCCAGGCCCTGAGCCCCCAGCAGGAGTGCGGAGAGTGTAGAGCAAGCATTCCTAGCCTCTGAGGGATTTCAGAATGGGCATTCCTACCAAAACAAATGCTTCAACTCGTGTGCTAACACTAGGTAGTTGACTTTTTTACTTATTTGTTTTTCCAACATTTGTTCATTTTTGAGAGAAAGAAAAGTGTGAGTGGGAAAGGGACAGAGAGAGGGGGAGACACAGAATCGGAAGCAGGCTCCAGGCTCCGAGCTGTCAGCACAGAGCCCGACACGGGGCTCGAACCCATGAGCCGTGAGATCATGACCTGAGCCGAAGTCGGACGCTCAGCCGACTGAGCCACCCAGGTGCCCCTAGGTAGCTTACTTTTAAATCTTTAACAGTTGTCCGGGGATTTTTTGCTTAAACTTCAAACGATCCTCTGCTCCCCCATCTGCCCCTACCCCACTTGCACTTTCTTTTTCAAAAATAAACACTAAAAGAAAAAAAACATAGGCAATCTTTCTAGAAGTCTCCCGGTGGCCCCAGAACCACGCAGGCACCCGTGGGTATGTACTGGCCCTGCTTTGAGAGGCAGCGAGGGAAGGCTTTAATGATGACTGTGAAAGGAAGCCTGTTGCAGGTTCCCCGACAAAGGAGAATGTCACCGAGCAGGGCCTGTTAATGTTTGCACTATTATCCGCATGAAAACGCATGTTAAACCACCCTCCTCTCAGTCAGCAAGCCCAGGGATACACCCCCGGCTCCCCTAGGGGTGTGGGTGATTTTGAAAATGGAAAAGGTGTCCAGACGCTCAGAGTCAGGAACGCAGGCCTCCTCGACCTCCATTCCCCGTCCTGGGTCTGCGATCACAGAGGCTCCTTCCAGCTCAGTGGCCAAAGGTCTTTGAGCCTGGGTTCCCCAGCCGGAAGAGCAGGTGAGGGACCAGCGGGTTTCTCTCCTGGGTAGGCGTCGACGGCAGGGCTCACTTTGCGTTTTCAGCACACGGCTCTTCTCTTTCCAGAATCGAGCGGGTGATTGACAACAATACCACTGTGAAGATGGTGCCCATCAAGATTGTGCACTCGGAGAGCCGGCCTGAGAAGGAGAGCCGCCAGGGCCTGGCCCGCGCCACCGAGCTGCCCACACTGCCCAGCGGGCTGGAGAAAGACCACATCAAGACCCTCAGCACCTCGGAGCAGTTCTACTCCCGCTTCTGCGTGTACAGCCGCCAGGGCGCCGAGCCCCAGCCCCAGCACCCCGAAGCCCCCGCGCCCACTGCCAAGGACAGCGGGGCCTCTCCGCCCGGGTTCAGCTACATGAAGACCAAGGAGAGGACAGCCGAAGACCTGAAGTCAGAAGAGCTGGCCCGGGAGATCGTGGGCAAGGAGAAGTCTCTGGCCGACATCCTGGACCCCAGCGTGAAGATCAGAACCACCATGGACCTGATGGAGGGGATCTTCCCCAAAGACGAGCACCTGCTGGAAGAAGCCCAGCAGCGGAGGAAGCTGCTCCCCAAAGTCCCCTCTCCTGGGACCACGGACGAGAAGTGAGTAAGCACCGCCTTCAGGTGCGCGGTGTGGCCACTTGGTGTGCTTCTCCCTCTTAGCATCTGGTTCGCTCCAGGGGGCAGGTGGCTTCTCCGTGTGTCTGTTTTCATGATTGCTTCTGGGGGGCAGGTTTCCGAAAGTACTGCCCAGTGCTTAGCACGTTTTGGCCATCCGGGGACCCTCCCAAAAGAAGCGCTAAGGCCCGTGGCTGGGGATGACGACTCTGAGGCCTGGCAAAGATGTGAGGATAGCGCAGCTCCTGCGATGCCCGCAGGCGCCTCTCAGAAGACAGCGCTTCTCAGCTGGGCCGTCGTCTCCCTCCAGGGGACACTTGGCAATGTCCGGGTACGTTTTTAGTTGTCGCCCCCGCGAGGTGCTCCCGGCATCCTGTGGGTGGAGACAGGGAGGCTGCCCAACACCCTGCGGTGGACAGGACACCCCCACAGCCCCAGATGTCAGTCACGAAGGCTCCTGAACGTCATAGTTATTAAGGAGGCTTTCTGTTCCCGCTTGTGGAACGGAGTGAACGGATGCATTTCCATGGTTTGGGGGAACGTGCTTTGCGTCCTGTCTCATTCCGTGGGCCGCCTGCACAGGCGTGTGCTCACATCTGTCCTGTTTATGTCCGTTGTGTCCATACACGTCGTTAACTGGCGGTAGGTGGGAGTGCCCGTGAGATGCCCGAGAGAGGGGCAGAGGGGGTGAGTCGGATCAAAGCAAGAGGGAGCAGACATGGCTGCAGACAAGGGCTGCCCCTCCGCCCCCCTTTGGTGGTCCCATCCCCCGGCTGTTGTCTTTTGGTTAGCGGCCCCATTGGCTCGTCGGGACCGAGGCCGTGAGCTGGAAGGGGGCACGTGCGCGTAGGGTCCCAGCCAGCTGCGGTTCTGACCTTTTTACGTAGGAGAGAGGAGCCGAGCGTGCCGGCGGCCATGTCCCTGGCCACCAGCTCCACGTACTACAGCACTTCGGTCCCCAAGGCGGAGCTGCTGATCAAGATGAAGGATCTGCAGGAGCAGCAGGAGCCCGAGGAGGATTCGGGGAGCGACTTGGACCACGACCTGTCGGTGAAGAAGGTAGGAAAGGCCGTGGTCAATGAAATCGTGCTCGTTGCCAGAGAAGGGGCCGCACGTCTCAGTCCAAGTAATCTGTCCCTTCCACCCTAGTTAAAATGCTGCGGACTTCATTCTGTGACCTTCAGCAAGTTACCTGTTCTCTTTGAATATCAGGTTCTAACACCTGCCGCCAGGAGATCATAGTCCCCACATAGTGCTTGTAAAGTGCTTTGTCCTCCAAGCAGCGGCATTTCTTGGCTCCTAGAACTCCCAGGCGCTTAGGGATACAGCAGGAGACCAAACAGAACGGAGCCCTTCCTTTCCAGAGGGGAGCCTCTGTTCAGCCCACATGAAAACAAATACACAGTAGGGGGTCGGCACACTGCATGCAGCCTGTGGGCCAAACCTGGTTTTGTGAGCAAAGTTGTATTGACACACAGGCACATTTATTCACTTAGAGATGCTCTCTGGTGGCTTTCCTTCCACAGAAGCAGGGTTGAGTAGTTGCAGCTGACCACGCCACCTGGAACGTCGAGGATCTTTACTGTCTACCCCTTTATGGAAAGAGTTTGCCAACGTTTAATGTGGTACATTGGATGGTGAGAGAGTTAAAACAGAGTGAAAGAATCGAGTGAAACAAAGGAAGGTGATTCTAGAGAGGGCTCCGGCGAGGGGATGATTGAACAGCGACCTAGAGTGGTGTGAAGGGTGAGCCCCGTGGATGTCTGGGTGCACTGGGGGAAGGGGACCAGCCGCTGCGAAGGTCCTGAGGTGGTAGGCTCGTGACACATTGGAGAAGCAGCAGTGGCTTTAGCTGGAGCTATGTGGACCAGGAGGGTAGGACTGGAGATAAAGTCAGAAATGAGGTCAGGGACTACATAGTGAGTGGCCATGAGGTCATGGTAGGGACAGCATTACTGCTGTCAGTGTCAATGTCATTACTGCTCTATTAGCTTTAAATCTCCATGATCTGTCAGCACGCCAGACCCGTGGCATCTAGGTGATTACCTAGTTTTTTAGGAAGGCCTTAGCATTAAACGGATGACGGGATTGCCAAAGAAAGTCCGTTTCGGAGGCTAGCACGTACTCTTTATTCCAGGGCCTTGAGCCTGTCAAATACTACCAGGGAAAGAAAAGGAGGGAAGCAGGCTTTTGTGAGCATTTGCCATATGCTTAGTACTTTGGAAAACTGCTTTCATAAAAAAACACTTTTTTTTTTTCTTTAACAAAAATCTTCCCAAAAGATTATGCGTATATAGTTCGTGGTTTAAAAACACCACTGGCTGATTTCAGATATGATAGAAGAAATACTGTGACCCATGCATGAGAGAAATTCACTTTCAGTTTGGGGAATATTTGCTTTTTTGTTCAAGGGAATTAAAGGGCATAAAAGATAAGAATTTTAGTCCTGGGCTTGTATCTGGCTTCCAATCACATATCCAATTTCTTTCTTTTTTCTTTCTTCTTTTTTAATGTTTATTTTTGAGAGAGAGAGACAGACAGACCAAACATGAGCCGGGGAGGGGGAGAGAGAGAGGGACATGCAGAATGTGAAGCATGCTCCAGGTTCTGAGCTGTCAGCACAGAGCCCGACGTGGGGCTCGAACCCGCGAACCGCAAGATCATGACCTGAGCCGAACAAAGTCAGACTCTTTTTACGACATGGCCTTGTTTCTCGTGCTGTGATGAGTTTGGGGTGGGGCACGTCCTGGTACTGCCCAGCCTTCATCTGGGTGGCTCTTTTCTCTTTCTGCTTTTGGGAGGCTCAAGTTGCTGGGCAACTGCCTCACCTTAGATGACTGCTTTGGGATTGAGATGAATCCCTGTGAACTTGGCTCCTGACAGCCTACTCCCCGCCCCCCCCCCCAACCTACTCCACATGATTATATTCTTGGGTTTTTTTAATGTTTATTTATTTTGAAGGCCGGAGGAGCAGCAAGAGAGGGGGCCAGAGGATCCGAAACAGGCTCTGAGCTGTCAGCAGAGAGCCTGATGCAGGGCTCGAACTCACGAACTATGAGATCATGACCTGAGCTGAAGCCAGACTCTCAACCGACTGAGCCACCCAGGCACCCTCGCATGATTAAATTCTTAACCCAACTGACATATCTTATTCCAGATGCAAATGTTGAGTAATTTCACAGTAAACGGCAAATGCTATAAATCACAGTTCTCTATGGTGTTAGTGACTCAGTAATCCTGCTTTTCGACTTGATTTGACAAAGGCAACTGGCACCCTGTCTTTTCAGCCTTCTTCCCATAACCCACAAATACACTGTGTCGTGTGGTTGTACAAAGTGTTCACGGTGGGGAGAAGGAGGTCCGTGCCGTGTGGATGTACCTGATGGGCCATAACGGTAGAGCGGCTTGACCCCGAATCGCATGTGGACCCACGTGCCCAGAGGGACCTTGGCTGTCATGGTCCCAGCATCGCTGCATGCTCACAGAGCCCGAGTGCCAAATCGGGTGACCCTGTGTTTTAGGAGACGGCTGAGGACACAGGGATGCAGAGAGGGAATTCTGGTGGCTGGTTGGAAGCATTACCCCAGGAAGGCGAAATCCGTTTTTACACCCGAGGCGGCTCAGGCACACTCTGCCCAGAAAGAGGCCCAACTGAGATATGGGATTCTTCAGCAGAAGCAGACACTCCATGGTCAACATCTGGAATCTGAGGGTTGTGGTTCTTCCCTGGAACTTAGACGTGGGCATGAGGCCCAGAGAGAAAAGACCTCATTCCCCCCACAGAGGGGGACAAAAGTAGGTGTGCGGGGGGCACCGGAAACAGAGGTAAGGGGCAGGAGTGCACCTGCTGTGAGACCCAGGGTGGGCGGGGGGGGGGGTGGCTGGCCTCTGCCACCACTTACTCTCCCCCCAGGCCCTCTTGAATGCCATGTGCTGCAGAACACAAGCGGATGGGCTCGCGCGAGGCTCATCTGACGTGGCGGGTGAGGCCTGCTGCACCCCGGCTGGTGCTGATAACCAGTGATCCGCATGCTTCCTGGGCCAGGCCTTGTTCCAAGATCCCTGAAAGTCAGCGTCTGGCCCTTTATGGAAGAAGGGGAGGGTATTTCTAATAAAACTTTACGCAAGACGTATAAAGGAATCAGAGGAATTTGGGCTCCTTCCAGAACGTCCAGCTTCAGGTTCGCTCAGCTGTTACTGCAGGTTTTGAAGGCGCATATCATGCATTGGTGTGAAATCTTTATCACGATAATTGCTAAAGAAGAATGAAACAGGAAAATTACCAGAAGCCCTGGCTAGGGGTCCTCACACATCCACAATCCTCTGAATTGCTTGAGGTGTTCACTCGGGTTACGGGTTGCCTGCAGGTGAGAATTTGGAAGGTTCTCCATCCCTACAATCCATTTTGTGCTCTTCCCTCAAGTTATGAGTATCTGAAAAAGGCCATCTTAGCCATGGGACTCGAAGTTGACTTAAACTGTCTCCCCAGATAGGTAGGTAACCAGACGCACCGAGACACCCACATTCTGAGAGAAAATATCAGAGAAGTGTAGACGCATACAGCTTTACATTAGTGAGGGAAGGGGCGCCTGGGTGGCTCAGTCGGTTGAGCGTCTGACTGCGGCTCAGGTCGTGATCTCACAGTTCGTGGGTTCAAGCCGCGCATCGGGCTCTGTGCTGACAGCATGGAGCCTGCTTCGGAATCTGTGTGTTTCTCTGTATCTGCCCCTCCTCTGCTCTCCCTCCCTCTCTCTCAAAATAATAAGTAAAATAAATAAATTAGTGAGGGAAGACTAACTAGAACCTGACCCGAAAAAGCCCAAAGCAGTTTATAAATTCCATGTTGGGTGTCTTAGGAGAAAACCCATGCCAATTAATCTGCAGTGAGGATGAGGACGGCTCTCCTCTGAAACCGCTTGCCATCTTAATCTGCAGGATACCCAGACATTGCGATAAGCCCTGGGCAGACTGAACCACGAGCAGGCAGTGCCCATGCCTTTCCAGGCCGTGGACTTACCGTCATACGTACTTGTGCGCGCGCATCAACGCCAGATGGGGATTCTCGTCAGCGTCTCCTCCGTAGACAAAGCGGACACGTCATCGGCTCCTGCAAAGCGTGCGATGGCTTGCTCGTGGTTCAGCGTGTCTTTCGTGCCGCCGTGTGACTTTGCCCACCTAAACTGTCATCGGGACAGGCGTTTTTTGTTTTTGAATTTTTGTTAACGTTTACTTATTTTTTAGAGAGAGAGTGAGGCAGAGCACGAGCGGGGAAGGGGCAAAGAGAGAGGGAGACACAGAGTCTGAAGCAGGCTGCAGGCTCTGAGCTGTCGTCTCGAGCCCACAAACCGTGAGATCACGACCAGAGCTGATGTCGGCCACTTAACCGACTGAGCCACCCCGGCGCCCCCATGACAGGCGGGTTCCATCCGACTGTTGTCTGTTAAGCCGGGGCAACTTCTCAGCCTGCACGCAGGACTGCTGATACCTGCCAAGTAAAGGTACCTACCGCAAGCCGCCAGGCTGGTGATTGTCACGCAGGCACGCGTTCAGCTTTCGTGTCAGTCCTGGAGGTGCGGGTTCCTTTTCCCCTGTGCAGCCAAGATCACAGTCCTGGAGAGCTTAATGAGACGTCGCTCCCTCCGGGCGGGTGACTTCTCTCCGCTCGGCTCTGCCAGCTCCCTGTGGGGTTGGAGTCTGTAAAGGGCCCAGGACACGCGGTGACGGTGTGGGGGGACTTCATAGGTCCACTTTCTATACGTGGCGTTCCTTGTTGCAGCAGGCTGAGCTGAACATCCTAACTGGACGTGAGCGTTCACATTCTGCAGGCTTCATTTGGGTTTGTGCACCTCGGCGCTGTGGCGTGCGGGGGTTCACGTGGGCTGTGTGTGGTTCAGCACGTGGGGGTGAACGCCCTGGCGCTTCTGCTGCGGGTGGGCCTGACGGCACGCAGACATGCGTGCTCAGAAGACCGTGGTTTTGGCAGCCTGGGCTCACCTGTTGCGTTCCTTTAGAGCCATCCCTGTGCGTTTCCCCAGATCTACCAGAGGAGGCAGACCATCTTTGCCGCTCAAATCCTGCCACTTCAGCGGGAAGGCCAGTTTATATGTTTGGTTTTTATTTTTGCCCCTTTAAGAGATAATCACTTAAAGGGCCTGTGGAAAAGGGGGGTGGGGAACTCATGTTTAATGGTCAGAGTGTCAGTTGGGTAACATGAGGCGGTTCTGGAGATGGGCGGTGGTCACGGTTGCCCACGACGTGAATGTACTTAATGCCACAGAGTGCTACGCTTAAAATCGCATAAAATGATAACTTGTGAGACGTATATCTTGCCATATTTAGTTTGTTTTATTTTATCTAAAATATTTTTTTAATGCTTTTGTTTTTGAGAGAGAGGGGGACAAAGCATGAGTGGGGGAGGGACAGAGAGAGAGAGAGGGGGGCACAGAATCCAGAGCAGGCTCCAGGCTCTCAACTGTCAGCAGAGCCCGACTCGGGGCTCGAACCCACAAACCGTGATCATCACCTGGGCCAAAGTCGGGCTCTTAACCGACTGAGCCACCCAGACGCCCCTTTCTTGCCATATTTTTAAAAAGGTAGTAATATATGTGCATTTCGGTCACATTCAAATCAGGTTACTCTCAAAAGACTTTTAATTTTACTGACATCCCTTTATTTGTTTTAACTTTAAGTTGCTAGTTGTGTGTGGAGCATACGTTTAAATCACGCCATTCAGTAGCAGGCGTGAGACTCCATAACTTGTGTACGTGTCAGTTCTTGCACTGGAAGATTGCAGACTATGAAGCACAGAATCTCACGTGGGCCCCGAGAATCCCGGCCAAGGTGAAGATGAAATGAGGTTTATCTCGAGGGGCCACGTCCTACCTATCGCTGTGTGATAGGACACTAACGGGAGGAGACTAGGTTAGTTTCGTGTCTAAATGTCACGCCAGGGACTTCACCAGGAGTTGTTCTCCCTCCCCGGGTCTTAGAAAGCCTCTCTTAGAAAGTTGATGCGAAATCAACTCTTCCCCACGCGGGTCACTTACGTGAGACCACAGGGCCCGGGCAGCCGCTGCAGGTGCCAGGTCGGGTCACCCTAACGAGTGTTTGCATGCCCCCCTGTGCCCTACAGCAGGAGCTCATCGAGAGCATCAGTCGCAAGCTGCAAGTGCTTCGGGAAGCCCGGGAGAGCCTGCTGGAGGACATCCGTGCCAACAGCGCACTGGGGGACGAGGTGGACGCCATCGCCAAAGACGTGTGCAAACCCAACGAGTTTGACAAGTTCCGCATGTTCATTGGGGACCTGGACAAAGTGGTGAACCTTCTGCTGTCGCTGTCGGGCCGTCTGGCGCGGGTAGAAAACGCCCTCAATAATTTGGATGACACTACTTCTCCTGGTGATCGGGTAGATACAACGTGCCTGACCTGGACTCGGCGGGGGGCGGGGCGGGAGGTGGTTGCGGGAAGGTTCCGCATGGGGCGTCATGAGTTGGTGCCCTGAAGCCTCACACGGTCCCTGCGGCGGCCTGTGCACCTCCCAGCGCAGGACGCCTTCGGGTGTCCAGGGCTCTCCCTCACTTTGCTGGTAACTGAGGGAGACAGGTGCTGGGGGGTGTGGTGGGCAGGGCCTGACAGGCGTGGTCATGGGACTGCAGGGCTGCTGTGATGTTCAGGAAGAACTGTGGGCTCCTTTTCACATCTTCTCACCTGTTCCCACGGATCATTACTGATAAGCGTCTCTTCCTAGGAAATAGTCTCTTTCGCCTTTCTTGACCATGCGTGTAAGTGGGTCTCACTGAGAATGGAATGTGATTTTTTGCTGCTTTTAACAGGAGTGCACACGGCAGTCTGGAAGCAGTCGAGGACTTGTCTGCCTCTTCTCCCTCTCTTGAGGTGTGCAGCCTGGAACGTGTCTCTTAGGGGGTTTGCAGAATGCAGGAAGTAATAGCCCCCTTGTTGGCTTCACTTCCTGGGTCAAATATCAGTAGAACATGGAGTTTGCTTCTCTGTGTAGGCCCTCAAATGATCATCTTTATTATTAATAAGGCTCCTTCTCTGAAAGGGGAGCGGAAGAGTTAGCCCTCTCCCTTACCCTAGGTGAGAGCGCTTTCAGGCGACCTAAATGTTCTCGAGCGCGGCTCGCAGACGTTGTCGTTCTGTGCTTAGCTAAGTCATTGATGACTACCGTTTGAACGTACTGGATAAGCACTGACAAAATAGCCGGGACCCTTGGATGATGTTCAGATTCCACTTTCTGATTTCCTCGTCTTTGCCACGTGTATCTGAGGAGAGGAAGATAACACGAGGGGTGCCTGGGTGTCTCCGCCTGTTGAGTGTCCGACTGGCTCAGGTCATGATCTGTGGTTCGAGCGTTGGAGCCCCGTATTGAGCTCTCTGCTGTCAGCACAGAGCCTGCTTGGGAGTCTCTGTCTCTCTCTGCTTCTACCCCACTCAAGTGTGCTCTGTCTCTCTCAAAAATAAAAATATTCTTAAAAAAAAACTTGAACAAGAAAGAGATTCGTTTATACATAATTGGAATGTTCTCGAGTATTGATTTAAGTGAACAACTAGTGTGGTCTTTGCAGCTCAGCTCCTCTATAATCTATCTTTCCCTCCGTGTGGGTGGAACGGACAGGTACTTTATTTAGAATTTGGGGATGATGAAGGAATGCCAACGCTAAGGACCACGCACCTGGTCCTCCTGAGCACCAGGCTCTGGAGCCCTCAGCACGTCCCGGGGGCTCCCTGTGAATGGAGTGTTGCATTCCCCCAGCCAGGGGCAGTGAGGAGGCCCCGTCTCCAGCAGGGTTGGCGTTGGAGGAAAATCTGCGTCAGGCAGTGGAAGTTTGGAGACGCTAAGGTTTTCAGAGACACCATAGTAACTAGTTAAAAGACACGGCAGAACGTTTTCTGAGGCTCCCTCCATCTTTCCAGACAGAAAATGTCCCCATCAGGTCCTCTCCCAGCCTCTGCAGCCTCCTGTCCCTAGTCAGCCTGACTGGTTTTGCTTTAAGTTTTTATGTATTTATTTTGAGAGAGAGTTCCTGCACACACCAGCGTGGGAGGGGCAGAGAGAGAGGGAGAGAGAGAATCCCAAGGCTCTCTCCCCTGATGCGGGGCTGGGACTCACAAGCCACAAGATCGTGACCTGAGCCAAAATTCAAGAGTTGGACACTTACCTGACAAAGCCGTGCAGGCGCCGCAGCCTGACTGATGTTAATAATCCAAAGCGCACTTCTAGGGTCTGTTAGCACCTGTTTCCCTTTGGGTTTAACGGATTTGCTTTGCCTCCTCTTTGCGTGAGAATTCTCTGTGCGCGTGACCTGAAGAGGGCGGTGTTGCACGGGAGTGGGCAGGGGACCTGACGCCCACCAAGACACTTTCTGCTTAGTGACCCGCCCACCAAGACACTTTCTGCTTAGTGACCCGCCCACCAAGACACTTTCTGCTTAGTGACAGTGGCCGCTCACGTTCATCGCGCTCTTTCTGTGTGCGGGCATTTTACAGAGAGCCGCCGCATGCTGGACTCTCACGGTGGCTGTTGGTAACTGTGCGTGGCCACGTCGCAAAGTGGCAGAATGAGAGCGGCTGTCCTGCTGTCCAAGTAAAAATCACACGGAGGAAATGAAGCCCCGGCCTCCCCCAGCCGACGGTGGGAGACTGAATGCACTCATCTCTTCCTTTCTTAGTTTTCGTTAAACTTAGAGAAGGCAGGGACCGTTAGGTGTGTATTTTGCGGAGAGACGGTGCGGCTGTGAGCGCCACATTTTAGGAACGGGATCGTCCGTGTCCCCCAGAGCGGGCCCCGTGCGGGGAGCCGGGGAGTCTCCCCCGTCTCCCTGCGTCTGTTCTGCCTGTCCTTGCTCCCTCACGCGTGCCCTGCAGGCTCGCCCAGGGGCTCTTCTCCTGCGGAAGGGTGTACACACCCCGCTCCGCGAGTTCTCCGGAATCCGCGCCTTTTGCTGCCTTTGCCGCGGTGTTGTCACGGGCAGGCCTCTGACGCGCGTGGGATCCCTAAGTCCTTTACACCTTTGGAGGCTCTCAGAATTCTGTCCTTATCTGTCCGGGGACAGCTGCCCTCATCAAGGCTGTTCCTCTGAGCCGTTCCAGGCCAGTGGGAAGAAATGGGAGGCGGGACGAGCCTGTGAGCTCTCGAGGAAGGGCTGGGGCCAGCCGCGCCCGAGTATCTCCGTGCAGAGGCCGTCAGACCCCTGGTCCCTAACCTGGCGTCAGGGTGTCCCCTGAGGCAGCCCGCAGCGTGGCCGGCAGCTTGTGGCGGCCACCCGGGGCCCCTGCTCTCGCCCTCATCCTCAACGGGCTTGTCTCTCTCTCTCCCCAGCAATCGCTGCTCGAGAAGCAGCGGGTCCTCATCCAGCAGCACGAGGACGCCAAGGAACTGAAGGAGAACCTGGACCGCTGGGAGCGGATCGTGTTCGACATCCTGGCCAGCTACCTCAGCGAGGAGAGCCTGGCCGACTGCGAGCACTTCGTGAAGATGAAGTCCGCCCTCATCATCGAGCAGCGCGAGCTGGAAGACAAGATACACCTGGGCGAGGAGCAGCTCAAGTGTCTGTTCGACAGCCTGCAGCCAGAAAGAGGCAAATAGGAGGGCCCTCCCTGGCGGAGGCCGGAAAGTGCCCCTCTGAGCTCGGTTCCGGAGGATGCACGCGGAGACCCCAGCCGGTATTTATGTCCTGCAGCCCGAGTCGTCCCCTAGCGGGATGGCTGCTTTAGAGAAGCAATAACTTCCGTGTGTGTTTGTGATGATCTATTTAATGTGTTTTAGCTTCCCCGTTGAACGCTGAGCAGAACATCTCACCATTAGCCATTTTGCTTTGCCGGTTACCACACGTGGCCCAGCCTCCGGAGGGTGGCGGGTTCCCGCAGTATAGACTGTGTAGTGCATGCAAGTGGTCCTTCTCACTGGTAGGTGTGCCCTTCCTCCCGTCTTCACATCCTGAACCAACCGCCCAGGAAGCAGCCTGAGTGAGTCTTGAAGGCGCATGAGCGGGGAACCCCTGGCTCCCATCTTACCCTGCGATTCCTTACCCTGGGAAGCGTGGGCTGCCCCGTCGTACCCCATTCGTCCGATGGTGTGGACCCTTCCTCGTCCTTCATTCATTGTCTCCCAGCAAAACCATGATGATATGATGACAAGTTACTAACCTTTTGGAAAGGGGAATGGTTTCCCAGTGGTTAAAAACCCACTGTGAAATGAACACCTTATGTGTTGGCTTCATGCATCCTGAAATCGCCACAGAAAGAATCGTGTGCATGCTTTAAAACACGCGCACAGCACAAGCAGCTTCAGTCCTGACGTCACGGTTCACGTGATCTTTTCCTGCAAAGTGAAAGTCCTCGGTCAGTAGTGTGTCCAGTAGGAGTGATGTGCTCGCTAGATACTTGTTTCATGAGACCAACAGCATATTTCTGAAATTACCTTCTGCCTGTAACACTTACTTTGTGTGCGTATGGTTGTTAGTGACAATTGGCTACGTTTCTGTTTTTGCCTCTTTAAATCTATTGCCATGCTGTAAGGGTTACTTTCCATTTACTTGTAAGAACCTTTCCTCTCTGCGCTTTCAGAGGCCCCATGGAGTATTACAACTCCCAAACCCGATCTTTTTCTGCCACAGTTTATACATTCTGTCCCCTGTTTATTAGCTGAAACCGCAAGTTTCTCAAGAGAGTCTGCTCACTAAGAAGACACTGTCATGCTGTCAGTTTCCAGTGGACAAGTCACAGACTGGGAGGAAAGATGTGCTAATCATGTCTATGACAAAGGATCTAGAAGGTGTGAAGAACTTTCAGAAGCAAGAGAACAAACAGCTGGTTAGTACATGGGCAAGAAACATAACTCGGTGCTTCAGCACAGAGGCCGTGTGCACGGGCAATAAAATAAGCACGTGGAAAGACATTCAACCGCCATCGGCTTGGTTGTAACTTCCGTTTAATCTACGCCAATGTAGAGCTTCTTCACAGATGCTCACCCGATTAAACGCGTGGTAAATGGCAGGACAGCCCCTTGGACGACATCATGTTGAAGTGATGATCGGACGTTTGGTTGATCGAGGGATCATTTGGATCCTCGTTTCCCCTATTCCCGTGAAAGTTTTCCGACAGGTGGGGACACGTCCCTTTGTCCGCGGCGACGGTTGCCTTCCCAGAACACACGTGCACACAAATGTCTTAACAGACCGCTGTCTGTACTCGATGAGCCAGAGGTGGGGAGCTGGACCCCTGAGCCACGGCACTGACGTCCCTGCACCCCACGGGGGTCCCAAAGTGGCAAGCTTCGGTAACGCACGCAATAAACCCTCTTTTTGGCAATCCACTCATGCCAGAAAGCTCCATGCCTTTTCAGAAGTTTCCAGTCCTATTGAATTAAGCGATTTCTGACTTGAAAAAAAATCCCCATCCTGCCAATGACGTGTCCTCCTTTCCTCCTGCTGTAGTCCCTTCCTGTGAAAACTGGTCACTTCAGAGAAGGTGAAGTTGGCTGTCCACGGACCTCTGTCATTCTCCCTCAGGGGGACAAACACAGTAATTTCAGCGTGTTTTGCTTTTAATTTAGACAAAGCGTTTATCTGTGATTCTTTCCCCTCGAATACAGTATTGTGAATCATTCTGATGATATATATGTAAAATGTGAGTAACAGGAGGTGTGTGTCTCTATCCAGCCTTTTAGGTCTTTTGAGGACCTTCTCTTACACACAGCAATATACAGTGCTCTGTCCCCCTTGCCGCGAAGCACATGGGGTCACTGTCCTGTACCTTCCCCTGTTTGCCTCTTCAGCGTCTAGTCAGCAGGGACCCAAAGAGTCCAGTGGGTCGATGTACATATCTTTGTACATAGCTATGTTATTGCATACAACAACAATCTGGTGCTAATGTTTTGCCCTTGGCATTCTTAGGTGGCGGCTGATTCCTCCCCCTCTGTCGTAGCACAGCTGTGGAATGCTCTGTATGGCGAGATTTCAGTCAGGGGTATGGCCTGTGGCTTTTATCCTGCAGTCCAGTGTGGAAAATGTATACGTATTTCATGCTCGACCCTTACCACTTAGCTCTCATCGTATCGTCCTGCTTGACTTTTAACAGAATAAATGTGTCTTTGAGTGAATGGAGCATGTCTTTGACTTACCTATGTTCTATCTTTTTTTCTTTTTTTTTTTTTTTTTTTTAATCAAACTGTCCTCACCATAGGTCAAATTCTTAAGCCACTGATAAATTGTGGGATGGATTCTCTATATGTGTGTAACTTTAGGCCAGCCTAGCTAAGGCTGATCAGTTTGCAGGCAGGCAAAAGTCAGGGGACATAGGTTGTATCAGTTAGCCGTGGCCGTAGTTACGCTGTGTAACAAGCAACTGTGAGATCTCAGTGTGCAGTACGGTATCTCTTTAGCTCACGCATGCGGCGATCATGGTACTCTGCTCCGTGTGTCTCTTGTCTTTCTCCTGGAACCGGCAGCCTGGCCTGGGGAAGTCAGTGGCAGATGCACGAGAGAACCGACCCGGGCACAAAGGTGTTTTTCCACATACCTGATTATATCACACCGCTAACCTTCCGTCGCCAAAGCAAGCCCCACAGCTGAACTCAGAGAGGTGGTGGGATGTGCCCCACCTCTTCGGTGGGAGGAGCCGTGTCGTCACGTGGCAGAGTGTGGACACCAGGTGTGAAGAATTCGGGCCACTGATGAGCTGCATCTCCCACACCGGCATCTGCTATGATGGGGTAGCACTCAAGCGTCCTGGACCCAGAAGCCACATCCCCAGGGCGAGGCCACCTCTGCCGCTCCCTAGTCGTATGGCCGTGACCAAGGTACTCGGGCTCTCCGAGTTTCGTCCTGTGTCACTGGAGAAGGCCTGGGGAGCTCAAGCAAGCACATGTTGTTCATGTGCTTAGAGGCCACACTAGGCCTGGAAAAAAGTGCTGCGGAGGCGTCTACTCTGGCTCTGCCAGAGCCGCGCAGGAGACAGGGATTTCTGTTGCATGGGAGGATGAGAAAGGGTTCTGGTCTGGAGCAGGTTTGTGAGGCGTCAAGGCTGGATGGGAGCGGGGAGAGTCTCTTTAATAAAAATTATTCAACGGGCGCCTGGGTGGCTCAGTCGGTTAAGCGTCCGACTTTGGCTCAGGTCACCATCTTGCAGTTCATGAGTTTGAGGCCCGCATGGGGCACCGTGCTGACATCTCAGAGCCTGCTTCAGACCCTCTGTCTACTCCCCCCTCCCCGCTCTGCCTATCCCCTGCTCTATCGCAAAAATAAACATTAAAGAAACAAATTTCATAAGTAAAAATTATTCAAAATTAGAGTGGATATTTACTGAGAATGAAAAACAAGTCAGATTTTTTTTTCAGTGGATGAATACCACACATTTTGTTTTTATTTCTGGCTTCTGCCAGGTGACTTCAACGTGTCTCATTTGAGTTCTGGAATGGTCAAGAGATTACTAACTGGCGGCAGTTCAAATGCAGTCCAAGAGTGCTGCTGTGGTGCTAGGCTGGGCAGTTCTGCGATCTGTGTGCCATGTTCCATGACCCACTGATGACAGCGTGCAGGGTTGCGTCCCTGAGAGCTTGTGTGCTTGGGCTGGTGAACCACATTGGTGACAGCTTGGTCTTTGGTGCGGGCCCATCAGACTTGTGCGGGATGAGCTGCGTTGGGTACCCTGAGACAGCCTGGGTATGGGGACACCAGACACTCGCTCCATTTTCAGACCTGTCTGCTGGGACCGCTGCAGGTCTGTACCTACAAGCACAGACATTCTGAGAGCCTGGGTTGTGCACTTCCCGTTAAGAGAAGAAAAGCAATGCACGGTGTGTTTATCGTTCGTGTGTGCTACATCTTGAGTCCCGGTGACCCACATAAACATCCCAGTCAGCCCAAGCTGGATAGTGCACCCTCTCCTCGTTCTCCTCCAGGTCCCCCGGAGGCTTGTGGCCATTCCGGCACCTCCTGACACAGGCAGGCGGAGAGGAGTGACATGGTAGACCTAACAGAACGTGATGACGATGTCTTTGGCAAATTTCACGAAAGCATAGGGCTGTGCTAGATACACCAGGTGATCAGATTCAAAGACGAGGCCTACCGGATGTCATGATCCGTCCCGGCGAGGACCACGTGGAGGTGTATTCAGGGCTGTCAGTCGTAGCTCACTAAACCCTCAGCCCTCAGAGCACAAGGCAGGGTTTTGTGTATGTCTGTGCTTCTCTGCTGGGTGCCTGGTATGAGTAGGCGCTTAATTTATACACAGGTATTGAATGGGCGAAGAAATAAAACCGGTTACACAGTATGGATCACCGAGCGGCGTGAGATTTCCTTTTTTTTCCCTCCTCCTGGGTGCCGTGTATGGAACACCTGTGTGCCAGGCACTTGAGGTCGGGCCATGGAGCACGTGCTGCTGACTTAACGCACAGAGGGAAACAAGGACCGAGTTCGTCGCGTTACCGTCTCGATCTTGCTGCCTCTACCTTTACCCTCCCAGGTTCTGCCTTCAGCCTCTTCTCCGTCGGTGTCCGGAGATAGAGGGATGTTGCATGGGTCACAGGAAGCGAGTGCCTTGATTTTATTACTGTCAAGCCTGAGACCAGAGAGGACATAGAGCGCA